GCTAAATAGGATTGTGAAAAGTAATCAGCCACGGATATCAGAGTGCGTTGATCACTTGTGCATCTGTTGCAAGGGAGAACGTTTTCTGAAAAATTTATTTCGAACGTCTGCGGTCAGAGGCCAGACGACAAATAGGCGATGAGAAATGACGGATAAGCGGAGCGACGCAATGATCTTACAATTCATGGCTGTTGTTTTTCAATCGTGAACAAATCCCCGCGAGAGCGCTTGTTTGCGCAATCACTGTGAAATAAATTATTAGAAAATGACTGTAATTTATTCGGTTGATCGCTGAAAAGTGCGCTGAAAAGCGCTAAACTCGCCGATAATCTTATCACACACCGCATCATGAAGAAAGTGCATCATGAAAGAAACGAAAGCAAGACCCTTCTGTCTCTCAAAGTTTGGCTGTATAATTCAAGAAAACGATACTCGCTCACTCGTCATCACGTTCAGCTTGCTCTCGTCCGCGTTAAATCCGCGTTAAATAACGAAATATTATTGATTTTGCGCGAAGCTAGAAGAAAAAACAAACGAATTGTATAAGCGTACTTGTTATCGATCACTGAATGAAAAATACACCGCGCAGCCTTGGCAACAATCATACCGAATGAGATTTGCTCCACACGAACGAACGAACGTTCCGTCCGTGTTTGTAAGACGGTAAACAATACTTTAACAAACAATTAATAACGTCGCACGTGTACGACCCTTGGACGAAAATGTCCAGATGGCGACGATTGCACGCATTACGCTTACCAAATCTACAGTTTAGCTCGATTCGATGTCCCTCTTGCGACTTTTGCTTTTAACACGACGACGACGACGACGACGACGACGACGACAACGACGAATTAACAATAAGCAGCGTGTGCACGCGGCGCGCGAGTTACATTGGGTTGGCAACTAAGTGATTGCGAATTTTGTCGACAGATGGATTTTACACTTTCTTTTGTTTCGTTAACGTGTTCAAAGTACCTAATCTATATTTTTTTCTTATTGTTTGGACTTCTACCTTTCATTTAGTACAAAAATTATATCGATTAATTCTTTAGTTTTGTTTTTATCCCAATTTAAAAATGGAAGAGCCAGATGTGCACTTCAGACATATTTTATTGTATTATTTCCGAAAAGGCAAGAACGCATCGCAAGCACACAAGAAGTTATGTGCCGTATATGGAATTGAAGCCTTGAAAGAAAGGCAGTGTCAAAATTGGTTCGCCAGATTTCGTTCTGGTGATTTTTCATTGAAAAATGCTCAACGATCTGTGGCCGTCCAGTTGAAGTCGATGAGCCCCATATCAAGGCCATTATCGATTCAGATCGTCATAGCACAACACGTGATATTGCAGAGAAGCTCAATGTATCGCATACATGCATTGAAAAAGATTTGAAAAAGCAAATTAAAAATTTTGAATTTTCATTCTTATTTAAAATCCGCAATCACTTAGTTGCCAACCCAATACCCAATACTATACACGCACGAATTCCGCAAGATGAGAATGTAGTACGAATGTAATCTGTGTCTAGCAAAATGTGTGCAGTTGCCTGCGTTAACGACGCGTCAGATACCTCGTCTCGTTAATTGAGCGACTGCTTCGTTAAATGGTGGAATTACGGCCACGGGACGTACCTGACACGCGCCTGACGAGTGAATTTATTCATTGTCCCGCATACGTACGTAATTATGTATAAATCGAATCGAAAAGTCTCGCGATAAGCGCGGGACTGCCGAGCGAGTTAGGACGATAAAGTAGTTTACGCGCTAAGCAGGTAAGCGACCAACTAATCTCACGATATACATTGTAATTGCTTTGTATCACAGCAAGCATTTCGAATTTTGGCGAACGACGCTTAATTTCGAAGAAGAGGGAACGTCCCTGCTTTGTCTCTTCTATACGACTAACGTGACGAAGGTTTGCAAAGAATATCCTCTCGTTTGTCTCTGAACGTTTAATAATTTTACACAAAAATTTTACACAAACGAAACACATTGTTCACTTTTTGATACAGGTACAACACATCGCTTGTACAATTTCACCTTCGATATGAAAAGCTTGCTGCGGCGTAACATGTTGAATTATGCGAGAGAAAAGTACGTACGAAGGAGAGAGACTCTTGAGACTCGTCTTTACTTACGTATCCGATTATGGTCCCGATACTCTTGCGTTCTTTCCAAGGACAATTCTTTTCAAGGGCTGTGCGTCAGGGCGACGCAACACAGTTGATCCCTTGAGTCCTTTGGATTCTTTCAACGACAGAGAAATTTTTATTCGCTTTTTCATTCGCTCGCGCATGAAATTTCAGAGCGGCTTTTTGCTCCCCGTATAATTAAATTCAAGCTCTTCATATACATTTAAAAAGTAATATACATTTAATATGTTTCTGCGAAAAAGTAAGGGATCGAATGGAAATTAAAAAGTAGAGGTGCTACACTTTGCTATCGCTAGCAATCAGCAAATACTGTTGATAATGTTGATTAAGTTTATTTAGATTAACAACGGCAACTCTCGCAACCCGGCGATACGGCCGAAAGAAGCTCGCAATTGTGACAACAACAAATGCCTCCTTATTCGTGCCCAATAGTTTATTTTGCAAAATAAATTGACACATACAATGGGGGATGGCTTAGTTGCTGAATAGAAATGAACATCTGTAAGAAATCTCCTCGCATGTGTCGCATGTGTCAACGTTACATTCAATGAGTACGCACACAACACGACTAGACATTACCTTCGATTCGTCAATTATTTTGAGATAATAATACAATACAAAAAAGGATAAGATCAGCAGGTTTCGCTTGCGACGATAGCTTGCGCCTTATAAAATATTAAAACAGCCTCCGCAGCGCAGTTGAGGCACACGCGCTCAACGTTCTCATCGCTATATCTTCATTAATTTCTCTTACACGCATTACGTTAAAATCTTTGTACTAACCCTCTCACGTGCGACACAGACACTCGTAAACGCAACGTTTCATACCTGTTGTCAAACAAAATGCATTGCGTAAATTATCCCGGGGTAAATTGTCACAGTCGCCAGAGACAATGTCGAGAATATCTCGAAGGTTTTCTCTCCTTGTAAAAAGAAATTACATGCGGAATTTTCCGACGGACCAAACAAACAAACAAACAAACAAAATTACGCTCGAGAAGATTCGAGAAGACGGTACGATTCAGCGAATAAACAGTCGATTAAATAGCGCATGAGAGGATTAATTTTTGCAATCATTTACGACGTACAGCGTAGAAGGACGGACGCGTGTCTTAGCGGGTCCAAATTTATATTTATCACATAAGAGAAGTTTCTCGCGCTTGTTCGTGTCACTTCGTCACCACCAGCTTGTTACTCTCTGATTCTTGATTAGTTTATTATAGAGATCTCTATGATCGAACATTGTCTGGTACTTTCGTATGAACAGAACTGTACTCTGTCCTCCGTTGCAAACGAAAGAAAAAAGAAACTATATCGTATATGTATACGCATTGCGCGTAAAATTAAATTGTCGCTAACAAAGGTGAGAACTTTATAGAATCCTCTTGTAATTAATACAAGCGAAACAATTTTGATTTTGAGAGAAAAGCATGATTGTGCGTAAGTATGGAATTACAAAACTCCCGTGTACAAGTTAGCCAATTGACAAGAAACGACCATAATCCGTGTTGGCGCATTAAAGATGCGATAAATGTGGGGTATTATAGAATATAGCATTCACTGTGGTGTGTGAAATTCAAAACTATGCTACATCAAGAGCAAACGTTAAACGTTTAAACGTTCCTTGTTTAAAATTTATACAAACAAACAATCTCACGACGCCGTTCGGACCGTGTGTGAAAGCTCGTGTTCCACTCCCTTAAACAATACGACAAATTCTTAATGTTCTTAAACGTTTAACAATAATAACGCAATAATCTTATATTATGAAAATTGAGTATAACTGCCGTAACATTACTCGGTTCAGCTTCCGTTTCAGCTCAATATTGCATTATGGGCCACTTGGGCGACTTCTAATAGTTCGCATTTCTAGTAGCTGGCTCGTGTCTAAATCTATGATAATCTTCTAAATCACCCTATCGACAATTATGTTATATCGCAATAGAGATTTTTAAGTATTTGGAGAAGAAACAAAAGATTCCTTTCCAACGCTACATGGCAATCGCACGCTGATCGATCACGTTCGAAGATTTGGCTCTAAGATGAGTTACTACGGGCTCTAAAAATACGACGCAAAATATGATGCAACAGATTCATTTTCCATCTGAGATGACCATCGATACGTGAGCGAACGTTTCCTAATAAAAAGAAAAACAAGTCTGTCATTTGGACAGTTTGGTGATGTTTCTTCTCCGAAATCAATTAATGCTCAAAACTTTCGAGGGGTGAGGCATCGATAGTACTATAAAACGTTTCTACAAATACAATGGTCAAGTATTTCGTACGTGATCTCAATCGTCAAAGTTCTGTCACCTCGGAAGAATAGTCAAACGCTGCTTATAGATAGAATTTCACAAATCAACGTTTTTGCCCCATTTATATATATATATATATATGTATATATGTGTGTGTATATATATATATATACATATATATATACATATATATACTCCATGTTGCAAAATTGTATATGCATTAATTACGTGCCAATGTGACTTCGAATGATTCGCACACTGACCGAAGCAAGTTGGTCTAATTTCCTCATGAGAAGTAAGGTATAAACATAGCGATAGAGAGTAGTGTGGTGACAGTATTTGTGAAAATTGGGAAAGTACATGGCACAAAGAACTCTAAATATACACGGGTTAAAGAGCATTCAATTTTACAATGCCTCGCCGTAGTAAGATATCACGACGGAGCATTATAAAGCCAACATCAGATAACGTTTGTAATATATTCAACGTAAGCGTATAAAATCTGAAATATTAGTAACATAGTGTTTCTCTGTCGAGAGAGAGAGAGAGAGAGAGAGAGAGAGAGAGAGAGAGAGAGAGAGAGAGAGAGAGAGAGAGAAAGAGAGAGAAACGTAGTTATATTCATAGGTAAGTGCTCGTCGGCTCGCGCGAGTCGCCTCGACGGAGGACTGTCTTAAGAAACTATTGTATTTTGGCACTAGAATCCACATAATCGTTAGGTTTTAAGCGTCGATTCGACATTCTGAAACGTCTATCAAGCATAATAAAAAATGATTTACATTACGTGCGAGCGTACGTGTATACGCGTGTTTGTGTATACTATATGTACGTGTATGTGCTTTCATACTTTTACGTGAAGGTTGTCATACCGACTCGTTTGTTAGATATATATATATATATATATGAATGTTTAGAAATATAACGTCTTACATAGTACTAAGGAACTTACGATTACTACTATATGTAATATCATTACGATAACGACACGCCTAATCGATTAAGCTTGACTCAAAAGTATCGATAGACTCGTAGCAACTGCCAACTGAAAACTGACGGATGAAATGTTTATATAATACATAGAATAAATCCATTTACAAAATAGTGCGCGGCATACTACGTATGATCCGACAATTGCTTTATCCGCTTGTTTTAATCCCTACTTGGCGCGTACAAACGTGTTATCCAATTCGAAGCAGATTTTATTTTATTTGACTTAATTTAGTGACCTTCTGAAGATCGTTGTGAATGATTTGTGAAGCGAGTGTTTGATAATTGAAAAATGTCAACGTACACTCGATGGATACGTGGGAAAATATAAGAAATGTGAAACACTACGCAATTATTATACGTTCCGAATGGGAAATAGAAAATTAGACGAAATCTTCCCTATCCATGGTATATTGTATATTTATATTTAAAAATGTTTCCTTAATATCTATTTTTTGAAGTATATAACTACGTAACGCTATCGTGAGTCTGAAGCGATATCGGTAAAATATCTGTACCACTATATGAAATGGTGCGAAAAGATTCAGAGAACTGCAATGTTTTTTGATTAGTTTGTGACATTGGCGCGTATTCCGGCGTGACGTTGACGCTGACAGTTAACGTTCATTCGTCTCAGTGCGCGAAAGATACGGTCCGTCGATGCGAACTAAACGGCATGGTCCGTGTGAAAAAGTTCAAGTTTACGTATATTTGAAACTATCGTCTCTGGACAACTCGGGACAACTGTCTGTTGAAACTATAGAATAAAAGAAAGCACTTCGGTCACGCGACAATCGGACACTGTATCACACCTTCCGTTGCGTTCTCGTTCAAGAAGAAGAACGTGTCAAACTGTCGTGCGAACCATCGTGCGAACCGCTAAGAAGATAGCGGTTAAGTAAAATATATCGCGAAACGTAATATCTCTCTGTGACTATTGCATCTGCTTGACAACGAAATTGGTTATCCCATTTTAAACGCTAACTCGTTACACGAAATCCACCTCGTCGTACGACGTAGACTCATTTAGGTATCCCAAGTCCCAAGTGTTCTACTCGACTCTACGAAATGTATGTTCGCGATTCTTGTCGCCGTTCTCTGAGCGATTAAATAGCCGTCACGTTCCTGAGAGCTCATTGTACACGTGTGTGTGCGTGTGTGTGTGTGTGTGCGTGTGTGTGTTCGCTATATATCAAGTAACATAATTCCTACAAGTACAAAGCACCAACCGTATTCGCTGCGTTTCTTCAATCCCTGACTAGTGTGGTGTCTTTCGTTGCAGTTTCTGTCTGTAACGTGGACGTTACGTCCCGATTGCGAGCGTCTCGAACGAGGAGCATCCCTTCACCGGCGGATGACATACGCATTAACTTTCCTTCTCCTCGATAGGACTCACCTCGTTCTGCAGCAGCTCGAATTTCGGACTCAGACTCGGGAGTATACTCCTGGTGCTCGTTTTGATTTGACTATACTTGTTGTAGATGTCCAAGGACTTTTTACGATCCATTTCGAGCGTCTCCTCGATCAATCGTGGCGGAATGCTGCCGGTTCGCTTGTGACTCGGCACGAAGACGCTACCTTCCGGCTTGTGATCCGTCGTTTTGTCCTGCTTGTGTTCCGGCGTCAGCGTGCCGTTGCCCAGTTTCCGCTGTTGCTCCTGAAACGCATCCTCCTGAACGTCGTCTTTCAGCAGCGCGCCGGTTATCACGGGCTTATTGCTCTCCGATTTGCCGGCAAAGTCGTTGCTCAGAGCCTTTTGCTCCATAATCTCCAACTTGTTGGGCGTTGTACCGTTCACCTGGAGATTCGGGTTCGACCGTACGGCGTCTGGGAAATTGTTGATCTCCAGCGAGTCCTCTCGTATCACCGCGCTCACGACATCTTGGAGGGATGACACGTTTTTGGATTTTCCAAAGTACTGCGGCTGAAAGTGGACGAGCAATTACGTCTTATTACGTACGAGGCCTTTGTGAACTCGATGATGCATTTGTTTATGCATTATTATTATTATTACGACACAATCGCGACGAGATGACGATCGAGAAATAGATACATGGCGAAAACAATCTTTTAATTGCAAACGGATGTAACGATGAATTTTTATTTGTTCTTCATTTGCATATCAATATGCTGTGAAGAGGATGGGACGTTTTGACAAACAAATCGATGACAAACAATCGCTCTCTCTCTCTCTCTCTCTCTCTCTCTGTCTCTCACACTTACATTTTTATCTTCGTCCTCGTCAATGGTCAAATTTCTGGAGTCGTCCAACAGCGTCTTTTCTATGTCCGGGGACTTGTCAAATTCTACCCACTTGGATCGTCCTTCCAGCTTTCTCGACAGCACATCGGACTCGTAACTACTACCGCCGTACATAGGATAGCCGAGATGGCCAGAGTCGTATTCGACCTGATTGCCATAGCGGTAGCTTGGATTGGCCGAACCTTGACTGGATATCGACAGATCCGACTGTGACAAACCGGTGTTGGTGCTCCCAAACAATCGTGTATTTTCAAAGCCTGAAATGACAGCGTGGAGAGTGGAAGCGAGTCTGAGCGTGGTGCGCATCGTGGTGCCGCGCTGATGGAGGCGCTTTACCTGACGATCTATCGTCTGGTATCTCCTCTCTGTGTACCAGAGCCTGTTGATCGGTGATTCCGGCAGTCATGTCGTCGGAGGATCCCTTGTTACCTTCCACCTCCTCCCTGTCGTAATCTGGCTGCACCTCCACCACAAATGAGCATCCGCCGTCTTTGTATCTCGCGATGGGTTTGCTGTCTTCCATCGTTACCTGAAAAGGCCGATAAAATAGCCACGAAAGAATCGCGCAAATTAGCAGAACGATAATTAGCAGAACGTAAATTCGTTTCTTCGAATTTCGAGCGATTGTCTCTCTCTCTCTCTCTCCCCCCCCCTCTCTCTCTCTCTCTCTCCCTCCCTCCCTCCCTCCCTCCATCGCGGGTGAAACGCATTTCGTGAGATCCGCATTTTCTAATCGACAGCTAATCCAAGCTTCATCGCACGCAGTCAAACGTTCCGATTCTCTCACGGGAATTTGCGAGACGTGTCTACCCGTGCGTCGCGTCGTCTCGTTTCTTTTCGGCGTGGGCCTGAGTTACGGACCCGAGTCGGCTCTCCACGCCTTTTCCTTGTTCAATAGTTGGCCACTTTGTACACGTACGTGTGAGGAGAGTGGACCGAATGTGGTGGCGCGAGTAGAGCATTTAGAGAGATCGAGTAGGGAAACGAAGAGGTGCGAGACACACATAACATGAAGAGAGTAAGTACATGTACATGTGTGTGTGTGTGTGTGTGTGTGTATGTGAGAGAGAGAGAGAGAGAGAGAGAGAGAAAAGAATGGAAACATATCTTGATTGGAGAGAAAGAAGAAACGTAGGCGTATAGAAGCGAAAGCAGTGGCCCGAAGGATTTTGAGAATTTTGAGAGAGAGACGAACGGGCTTCCGAGACACGAATAAGACGAGGCTGTAAGTAGAACGATAGGTGGGGACGAAATTGCTCGGTAACCTCTGACCTTACAGGGTCGGTCAAGTTCGATATGAATCTGCTCCTCTTCTCGTTAACTAACCAGTCTTTGCAATCTATCGCGTAAAGAAGTTGCCGCATAAAGAATTTTGCTACGGCGTGTTTTCCAGCGTGATAATTTAGAATAGAGAATAGAGAATCAGAGTCGTCATCTCTGTTGAAGAGGATATGCACGCACACTCTGCATTTTACGTCACTCGACATTGTTGCATCAAGATTCCCTTACGACAGTGTACTCACCGCGCGTTCCTCCGTTTCTACGATAAGATGATTATTTTTCAATGTAAGGGTGATAATGTTTCCATTCGCATTTTTGCTGGTGTGATTGCCAGAAGTGGTGTACTCCACCATGGCCGCCGGGGCAACATTTACATCCTCCATCACCTCCGTTTCGCACATATATCGGGGTACATCTAGGCCATTCACCAGCTGGAATGAAATAAAGCTGGAATATACACACGCGACAAGGAAAATCCAAGTAACAATGTACCTTTCAACCAAACATCTCATTCGTCACTCGCGACACTGTTGATACTCAAAGAAGAAATAATCTTTTCACGATGTGACAATCTACATCGAACGACATCGCCGCCTGTGCGCCGAGTAGTTTTAGTTGCTCGCGATTCCAAACTATATAAGATTAATACTTATTTTCGACTTGGTACTATAAAAGTCGAGAAATGCGGCAGTAGCGATTTTTCGTGCAATTTTTCGTTACGCTTCACGGGATATGGAGGATTTGGTTACAGCCTCTTCGGTGGGCGCGAGGTTGCCCTAATTTACGAATGTACGAAGAAGACGGAGACAGACAGAGAGAGAGAGAGAGAGAGAGAGAGAGAGAGAGAGAGAGAGAGAGAGGCAGAGAGAGAGGAGAGAGAGAGAGAGAGAGAGAGCAACGTCCCGTATAGTTTTTTATCTATCACGTCGCGAAAAGTCATCTCGCGTGCAAGTAGATGTTTGCGTGTACATTCACCTATACGCACGCAGATGCACGCCGGTTACGTCGTTCTCCGAGCGCCTTGTGCCAAAGGGTACTGAACCTGACCCAAGGGGCATTGCTCTTGCGCTCTGCACGTCTCTCCGTTCCTTTTCTGTTAGATCGCTACACACACCGGTCGTCACGTTAGCCAAAGCGCGCAGGTATCATTGCGGGGCTTGACTCGCGGTACTCGCGAATAGCAGTCGAAAACACCGAACCGAAATACGAGTCGCAACACACACGCGCGCGCGCGCGCGCGTCGCGAGATTATTTAATCAGCGATGAGCGCTCACAGTCAAGAGCTGGATGATATCGCGTTTGCAATTTTCGCGATTAGGTTACATTTTTCAATTGCAATATTACAAAATTGTCGCCCACGCGCACAATGCGTGGCGTATCAGTTCAACGAAGCACGCGTGTGTAGTTTGTGAGAGACAATTCCTTTTTCTTCTTCAAGGAAATTGAACGATGTAATTGCGATGCGGAGCGATCAACCTGGCAAGTTCGAGGAAACTCGTTCCTAACGCTTTGAGAGTCTCGGTGTGTTTTCATCTTTTGAAATTGCTTTTATTAATGAATTTTAACGTCATTGGCGATTGTTCTTCAGGGTCCATTGCTCGAGGAACAGAGAGAAGGAATATCTCACAAAGACAAATCTGATCCTGTTATCCGGCCTTTCACCTCCGTAGCGATGAAAATCAGTCGACCGATTATTATTAGGACACTGGATGATGTCTCTCGTGGTCTCTCTAAACATTTATGCAAAGATGCACAAAGAATGCCTTTGCATTTGTTCTATTCTAGCTATTTTTATCGGTTCTGACGGTCCACGAAAGAAAAGATTAAATTGTGAAAGATCGAGTCGCTCTCTCGCTCTCTCTCTCTCTCTCTCTCTCTCTCTCTCTCTCTCTCTCTCTCTCTCTCTCTCTCTCTCTCTCTCTCTCTCTCTCCCCCCCCCCCCCCCCCCCCCCCCCCCCCCCCCCCCCCCCCCCCCCCCCCCCCCCCCCCCCCCCCCCCCCCCCCCCCCCCCCCCCCCCTCCTCCTCTCCTCTCTCTCTCTCTTTCTCTCTCTCTCTAACGAACGAACGAACGAACGAACGAACGAACAAACGAGTGAATGTCTCTCTCACAAACGTGAGCCGATATCGTACTAAAGACGTTGCTGCGATTGGCACGTGAAAAGAAGCGTTCTCATCGCAGAGATAAGATTAATGTAGACTTACACGACGCAAGACTATAACAATTTTTTTAATAAACATTGCGACCATGATCCACAATATCGATAAATGAACACTTGATTGTGATTAATTTCTTACTTGATGGAGCAAACATAAAATTATTCCGATAGATAAAGATTACACGATACAAATTGATATTGTAATAATATCCCAAAATATTAATTTTCAGTTCATCTGAAACTAGTTATCAAAATTAGAAGACGTCGATGGTATTGTGTGCGTAGCGCGAATCTGTCGCGCGCTTAGCAGCATATGTATAAGTTTGCTGTACGATTAATGCTTCGTTCGTTGGCAGTCACGTCGCTGCTTCTAGCAGACGTCCAAGTACTAAACACTCAAGGACATTCGCCGCTTTGTGTCTGGTTTTTTGCTATCACCGTTAGAGGTTGCAGACGGTCATGGAAGACGAATGAAGGACATTTATAGGCGAACAGTCTAGTGGTAATTATGGCAATCGGAGAAAATACGCCAGGCGTTCATGGTCGACGGGTACGTTTGCCAATTGTCAGGAGATAGTAATGTTCTTTTAATTATCCCCTTTCTCTTGTAATTCAGCTAACAATCGACATTGCTCGCTCGACATTGGATACAATCTTCACCGAAGCGATTCTTGCTTTCGTACTTTCCCACTTGTAAAATTAATAATACAACATACACGTGCACGTTTGCGCATTTTATGCGATGCAAATGTAAATGTGTATGCAAATGCAAACGTTTAAAAATCATTATGGAGATAATTGGAGTAAGAATTAATTTAATTATGAAATTTACAAATTTTTAAAAGGTCCTGCACTTTAACTCGAAGCAAAGATAAAAAAACGATCAAACGTTCGCGCTCACATTTTTTCAGACAGTACAATATTTGACTTTGGGGCGGGGTGGGGGGGGGAGGACTTTTGCATTTTATTTGCTGGATTGCTGGAATAACGATAGGAAAAGAAGGGAGAAATGTGGTGGCAAATAGAATAGAGCAAGGAGGAATCGTTGCGTTAGTTGCGATACCAAAAGTGGCGTGAATATTCGATTCGTGACGCATATTTTAACGATATACCGTTAGAGGTCCCAGACGGTCAAAATGATTCCGGTCTTTCTACACCACAATAGATTCTGGCTGTACAAGCAGGTAATCCATAAACGAGATAGACGCGGGGCGGCCTTGAGTTATTTCGTCATCGCGTAGTATGCCGCTGTTGGATTACATCACGTCAAAATCGACGGACAAATTTAAGGTTCGTCCGATCGTCCAATCGAAATAAAAATATGCATCTAATTAAAGAAAAAAGAATCTTCGAACCGGTTGATGCAACAACAAAATGGAGATATTAGCGAAGTACGTACAAAGTCAAACTCACGAGATTTAGTTTTATTATAGCATACTTTTATCCTAGCATATAGCAGATTTTTTCGTTTGCTTCTCTTCTTTTTTCTACAACAGTCCAGAACACTACCATAATTTTGCTACCATAAAATTACACTTGCATTTATGACCGGTAAAAGTTAAATGTGAAAGGTTAATCGAGGAACGTATGCAGCATTTCACGGATATCGTCGACGAGGTCAAGCTCTAATGCGTCATTCGAAATTGATTGCGAATGTTTGATGCATCAAAGAAAAAGGAATGACGTCCTCTTCTTGGAGGATTCGTCAAGGTTATCCGATACGATTTGCAGATATGGAATTATTTCCGCGTGCAGTCAACACCGCTATTATTTATGCAAAGTAGCTTTTACCCAATCTTTGAAACTCACATACCCGCAGCTGTAAAATTTTATCGATCGAATACGGCGCGTGCGATGTATCGAGAGCTTTTCTAAAATCTGAAATTTCCTGAAAAAGAGGAAGAGGAACACAATTGTAAGCGATCAAAGTAAACAACATACATACTCGTGCCGAGACTTTGACTTCTGGAACTTTCAAGTTTTCAGCTTTTCATGCTTTCGCACATGTCGAGTCACCGGTTGAAAGACAGCAAATGTCCCGAAGAGAAGAAACATATTACAAGTACAAAACAGCCTTAGCATCCCGGCTGCGCCGGCAGGAGCGTTTATTATATTTCGAAGTGACCACATCCGTGTTTCTTTTCCTCATGGCGCTTACATTATTAATGTCAGTCACTTTGGCCGCTCATGCAACATTTATGACCGACGGTCGTTCCAGAAAAGACAGTCACGGAAGGCTATTCGAATGGGCTATTCGAATTTGTTTGACCTTTATGATAAAAACCACGCCAGATAAAAAGTAGTGGCAACTTTGGCAAACGGTACATACAAGCGATGGTCTCATCCATCTATTTTCATAGCGCCAGAAAACACGCCAGATCGCGATTTTAACGTCCAAACGCGGTCGTCACGGCGGTCGAGAGAGAAACTCTGGACGCGAGAGACGCAACACTCCGTCAGATTTGTCTGAATATTTCTGTTGCGTCGTAACGAAACTTTGTTGCTTGAGAAATCTCAAAAGTAAAATTGCAATCACTGTTCTTTATAGTTGAAGTTGCGATCAACTAACTGCCTTCCAAATGATCATTCGTTTGCGCATTTAACAGAAGAGACAAAGCTGGGGAAACGTTGCGTTTCTTCCTTTCGATTGTTACTTCTGGAGGAATCAACGAGTCTTAGCAGTGGTAGTTTCTTTTCCTTTTCTTCTTTCTAGCAGATATGCGATACGCTAGCAGAAACGCGCGAATAAAGCTGCACTTTTGGAATCATGCTCGCACTCGATTGAGTCGGCGACGGTCAGAGAAATAATATTGACATAGTGCTGGCAAACGAACAGAGACCTCCTTGTGGCTCGTAGTCGAGATAAGCTAATCTCTATCATAGTCTGGTACGCCTCGCAAACGTATAGCAAACAACGGGTCTTATCGTCTTATAGCGAGTACGTCATTCGATAACTTTGCTTCGTTGTTCCGTGCGCTGAAAACCTAGATTTGCAACTATGCTGCGTAGTAAGTCCCGATATCCTCGAGTGTATAATTCGAGAAATTTGAAGGTGTGCAATCTATGCTTTGGCCTGTGTGTGATGATGTACCTCGCAAAATCCGTTGGCTCCATTAACGTTACTTGAAAACAAAAAGGAAGTCATATAACCGGTCGTAAAGGTTTCTGCGAAGAAGACGGTAGACTTGAGAACGTAGCGCTATTTTATGTCCCTCTTGTCACCTCTCCGTTACCGGACTGTACGAATTCATTCGTATCAATATTCGCGTAGTAA